ATGAAAAGTGTTAACGTGGACCGTTCCATTTCAAATCATTAACAAATTACAGTAATATGTTAACTTACTTTAGTTCTATGAGTTGACTTAAAACTGGAAAACGACGTAGCGGTATCACGAAACTGTCCGATTCCAAATTAAGTCAAAATATCATGTAATAATGTCAGGACGGAATTTTTCACAGAAATTAGATGGTGGGGCAGAAAAAAGAATACTAAGTAATTTAGGACAAGAAATTAGTAGGTAAGTTAGTAGTAAACAGTAAAGGAAATGTGACAGAAAGTGACAATTAGAACTCAGCTGATTAAGGTAATGATGTATAGGAGCTAACAGTGAAATCCAGGACGCGCGTTTCAACCTATTAATGACTCATCAGCTAGTTGTCCTGCCTCCTAGTGAGCCATATAGTTGCCACTAGGATTTGAACCCGGGATCGATTAAGATTGGGGTTTCGAGTTAATGGAAAGTCTAATGAAATGATAATGATGTACTCGAGTAAGTGAAAGGTCAAGAAGTTAGGCTATCACGGTAGTTGAAGACTGACGATAGACTCCTTTTAAACACATAAATCTGGTTTCAGCCGTTTGATTGCACTGGCTTTAGTGAAGCGAAGATTTGAATTATTCTGATTACTTTGAAGGATTCCAAGGCATCTGCTTGATGTCCTATTGGATACAGGCAACAATATTTTCTGAAAGCCCGTAATATCAATTGTCTCAATGATGGGTAGAATGATATAGAATTTCCAGTACAACTTCAACACAATTGAGGTGAGAAATTAGCATTTAATGTTGGGATTTAGAATCCCGATTATCCATACTAATTAGGATTAATGAAATGAGGTTTAGTCTTGTAAATGTAGGTTGAAATCCACTCAGCAACCTTGTAGACATCCATGCAGCAGGTAATAAACCACAGAAATTATGTGAGGGATGGCGATATTAAATGGTAGCCCAAACCTCTGCAGGTGAATTGGTACTAGGACCCACGAACCGCTGCTCAAAAGTCTACTCCTTAAGTAAAAGAGCTATAACTCCATTAACCTGCGGTTTGGGAATCACAAATAAGAGTTAGGACTTGTTTTTTTTGTTTATATTTCGACTGCCATTAAACTCTGTCAGTTTGTGGTACTGTCGGAAGTATGAAAATAATCAGGCATGAGATGACTTTACAGCAACGGTACCTGAGAAATGATCGAATAAATGGTGTCAAACAGTTACATTTACCTGAAATTCTTTCGATTCATTGAATTCATCCTTAAATTATACATAAACTAAAGTTTTCGCCTAGCTGAGGAACATCAGGATATCTCAAGATCAGCGGAGAAACCACCAAGGAGAGTGCCAACATTTTGTAATTAGCCATAATTTAGGCAGCGTGTGCAAACACAAGGATATTCACAAGACAGCAACATGCATTTCATTTCACCAGACACCAGACACACTACACTAAAAATCAGATCGACTTCACTTCAAACTGAGGAAGGTGGAGACGCAGTCAGTCTACTGGAGACAAGATAAGATGAAGAAAGGGAGCATATGTAGGCTGACACCATCAGACTATCTAGTGGAATGAACTGACCTTCAAATTCAAGTTGAAAGTCTTCACATAATCTGGTGATAGACCACAGCTGAAGTTCACATTCAACACCTAGTCAGAACAGAAACTGAACTGAAGAACGAGACTACAAACGACATCTTCACGTCAGTCAGTCAGTCATTAGGATAAAATGGGAGACACTAAGCGACATGCCTGTAGGAACCTGTGTGGAAGAACAGTGGAACTCTGTGAAAGAGATGTGGAAGGAGACCTGGATAACCGTGTTTGGAAGGAAGAAGAAATGAGACATGGAATGGAATGGAATGGAATGGGATGGATTTCGACGGACACATGGAAGCTGATAGAGGAGGGATAAGGAGAGGGAGAGGGGAGGGAGAGGGGGATGATGATGGAGATGATGGTAAAATAGAAGATGAGCCAGTTCAGTTCAGTTCAGTGTAGTGCAGAGCAGATCAGTATAGGGATGAACAAGGAAAAGAGGAATTGAACACAACCTAGAAAACACTACACTAGACAAGGAAGTCAAGAGGAATGCATGGAAAGACAAGAGACACTTCTACCACACACTGACAAGTGAAGCAGAACAGGCTGCAGGTTGGTGGAGACAGAGACCTGACAACATTATATCAAACAACCAGGTTACTGGTTACGTGGGAGGGGAGAGATCTACACAGATGAAAGCAATGAAGTATGGTGAAGGAAAGGCAGTTGTCACCGAAGAGGATAAACAAAGGGAATGAAAGGATGGAGTGACCACTTGAAGAAACTCTTGAATCGACCACCACGAACACCACCTGCAAGTTGTTTAGGAATGCTACCAGCTGTCCAGCCACAGAAACATCAGTGAACACAAACCCTGTGACGAAAGCAGAAGTGATTTTCTGAAGGTCATGAAGACACTGAAATCCGAGAAGACAGTAGCACCACATGGAATTCCACCAGAAGCACTAAGAACAAACACAGAGACGTCAGCGGACATGCTCACACGACTATTCCACAAGGTTTGGTAGGAAGGAATGAGGGAAGGAAAGGTACCCACCGATTGGAAGAAGGGTTACCTTGTCAAACTCACAGACAAGGCTGACTTAAGTGTTTGCAAGAAGAAGAACTGACTCGAAATCATGCTCCACACCAGTCCATCTCAATCAAAATATGAAGCTACATCATCCTGGAGAGAGAGATTCAAGAATACTCTGCATTCCAAATTACGACTGACTGACTGACTGACTGACTGACTGACTGACTGACTGACTGACTGACTGACTGACTGACTGACTGACTGGCTGGCTGTCTGACTGACTGGCTGGCTGGCTGTCTGTCTTGAGGAAGAACAAATCACATGCGGATCAAATTACAATGTAACGCATCACTACACTACACTACACTACACTACACTACACATCATCATTGAACACAGAATAGAATATCAGTCAACTCAACACAACTCAACTCAACTTCAACCCCAACCTCAACTTCATCGACTTTGAAGAGGACTTCCTTCAATAGCGTCGATGGTGCCGAGAAGTAATTTGGCAGTCAGCTGCTTCAACACTATGGTTTCAGTGCCACAAACCTCCACAAACCTCATTCAACAACAGGTATATGCTATGTGATGATGTTACATGCCATGCGAAGTGATTCACAATGCAATGGGGAGCTCATCTGAGTTGTGCTTTTGAAGTGAAGGTGGGGGAGGTGAGTGAGACAAGATGAGGTTGTCGCCTACTATCACGGATCACCTTCCTGATTGTGGTCGACTGTAGTGGAGTGGACTCGACTCGACTCGACTGGAGTGGACTGTACTGGACTAGACTGGACTGGACTGGATCATGCAATAAACAACAGTGTCGAGGTGTGAGAAGATGGGCATACACTATTTCACCGATGCGATGAAAAGACTCTAGAAGAATATTTGTATTTCACCAAGGATGATGATTTATGTCTAATGTTTAATGTCTCAGAAACTGGAAGATGTACAGGCGTCTACGAAGAAGTTGGGGTGAAGAGGTGAGGTGAGGCAGGGAAGGGCAGGGTGGGGCAGGGCAGGACAGTCAAGTAAGATGGGACTTCCTTCAGATGAATGCAGAGAAGACAGAGGTGATGAAGATGCTCAACTAATAGCAGCAACAACAACAACAAGCACCAATCATCATCAACGGGATAAATGTGAAGGAAGTAGTCTCTTTCACCTACCTAACTACCTACCTACCTAATCAGGCAGCATCGTTTCAACTATAGGTGGCGGTGGCACAGATGAGGATGTGAAAGCCAACCAGCACTGAAACACAAGACAGCAAGATAGGTCTGCCTTCATTAATGTGTTGAGATGTACTGCACTGCACTGCACTCAGGATAAAGAGCAATATTCGGATTTTCAAGACTACTAATGTCAGTCAAGTCAGTTCTTCTATATGATGGTTGAGAGACTTGGCGTGTCACGAAAAGCATTTCCAACAAACTGCAGATATACATCATCAATGTCTACCACCAACTCTCACTCCATACTGAAGATCAGATCAGATGGTCAGAATAATAAGATTAAAGAAGAAGGCACTTTGTCTGGCTGGCAACGAACCAACTAACCAAGAACCCATGGTCTAACAAATATGCAGAAGAACAAAGTGGAGATGGATTGGATTGGACTGGACATACACTGAGAAGACGGTTCGGGGACATCCCGCGTCAGGCCAGACTAGGCTGTCGAGTGTAAACCGAATGGGAAAGGACGAGTTGGGTTTCTGAGGCGAGGGTGTCATGGTGGAGATGGTGTGCAGAAGAAATGAAAGGTTGTGGGCAGTGGTGGATATAGGTTGAAAAGACTGCAGAGAAGAGAGTGAAGTGGCGACGTGCTACTGAAGCCCTATGTTCCATAAGGGTCAAATAGTAGTAATAATACTGTACTCTTTTTAAATATTGTCAAAGCTTTTGTCAGTTATCTTGTTATCCAGAGAAATATTTCAAACTTTTTGGATAAATAATATTTGACAAGCCTTTAGAGCAAGTCATACTAATTGTCGTACATACTGGTGTTCCTTATCATCAAATATATATACCGCTGCCATAATCAACATATTATCTTGATTAATGTTGCTATTATTATAACTACTACTTGGGGAAACCGATTTAAAGTAAACTCAGAATGTTTCGATTGCATCGCTTTCATTCTATATTCAAAGTACGAACATATAATAATGTAGTAAATGAAAGTTTCTTTATAAGCCATCTTGTTGTTTTCTACTTCCTTTGATTTTGATTTCATTTTAATTACCTAAAATGCATTAGTCGCTGAACACGCAATAACAAAATCGCCATCATCATCATTATCAACAATACACCCATTATCATTATTATTGTTCATACAAACAAATATAACCTATTCAATATATACTCTTGAATTTGAAATGTATAGTTTACCTTTGTTCAGTATTAAATCCACATGATTAATACAATTTAAAGCTATTGATAAGATGAATAAATGTAGAGATTGGTGATGATGATGATGATGATGATGATGATGATGATGATGATGATGATGATGATGATGATGATGATGATGATGATGATGATGATGATGATGATGATGATGATGATGATGATGATGATGATGATGATGATGATGATGATGATGATGATGATGATGATGATGATGATGATGATGATGATGATGATGATGATGATGATGATGATGATGATGATGATGATGATGATGATGATGATGATGATGATGATGATGATGATGATGATGATGATGATGATGATGATGATGATGATGATGATGATGATGATGATGATGATGATGATGATGATGATGATGATGATGATGATGATGATGATGATGATGATGATGATGATGATGATGATGATGATGATGATGATGATGATGATGATGATGATGATGATGATGATGATGATGATGATGATGATGATGATGATGATGATGATGATGATGATGATGATGATGATGATGATGATGATGATGATGATGATGATGATGATGATGATGATGATGATGATGATGATGATGATGATGATGATGATGATGATGATGATGATGATGATGATGATGATGATGATGATGATGATGATGATGATGATGATGATGATGATGATGATGATGATGATGATGATGATGATGATGATGATGATGATGATGATGATGATGATGATGATGATGATGATGATGATGATGATGATGATGATGATGATGATGATGATGATGATGATGATGATGATGATGATGATGATGATGATGATGATGATGATGATGATGATGATGATGATGATGATGATGATGATGATGATGATGATGATGATGATGATGATGATGATGATGATGATGATGATGATGATGATGATGATGATGATGATGATGATGATGATGATGATGATGATGATGATGATGATGATGATGATGATGATGATGATGATGATGATGATGATGATGATGATGATGATGATGATGATGATGATGATGATGATGATGATGATGATGATGATGATGATGATGATGATGATGATGATGATGATGATGATGATGATGATGATGATGATGATGATGATGATGATGATGATGATGATGATGATGATGATGATGATGATGATGATGATGATGGTATTGGTATCATCGCCTGTGTATACACATCGTCATGATAAACATTTCAGCAACTTCTGATCATGCTTAAATCTATGCATGAATTTTTCTAAAAATCGATAGTCTATTTGTGAGATATTCAATTGACTTTGTTAAAAAGCGTGATTAGTCTAAATCCGTGCATCGGAATCTAGACACGAAGATAAGGAATCCTATACTACAGAGGACTGTATTTAGTATTTGTTTGTTGCCTAGCGACTACTGCGTGAAGCATCTTTGATGTGAGCCATGTACAATCTAATATTTGGCTTTCTATCTAGATAGTTGCACTCCATATCTGGTAAGATAAATTCACGAAGATACCTGATGGCTACCTGTTTCCATAATGAAGGGAATACAAGTCCCCTAAAGGCTGCATATGCACCACGATGACGAATGCAGACATGTAAAAAACTTAGGTGGCGCGAGAATTCCTGCCAGTTGCCACCAACCGGCTAACATTTTTGATTTTACTGTTTCTGTTCACTTTGGTATTCATCCCTGACTGACATCAGTTCGAGGATCATTGGAAACCTGGGGGCACTATCCAGCTGTTTTGTCTTAGTATGGGTACCCTCAGTAGTGCGCACCCACGACCCCATCAGGGATTAAACCCAGAACCCTCAGTGTTCCAATCCCAGCACGTTGTCAACGAGTCACTGGGTCGGAATCCAATGACTCATATTTTCCTACTTCTCCCAGTTCTCGATAGAGCACAACCTCCATCTAATGGAGTCGTTTAGTGACTGTCCTCACGTACAACTTAGTTTGCCCCATCGGTTCTGGGTTTGGTCCGTGGCAAAGTAGTGGGTTCGCACTACCGAAGAGCGCCATATTAGAACGAAACGATTGTCCAGTGCTTCCAGGTTTTCAGTGGCTCCCCAACTGATTTCAGTCGCTGATAAATACCATCTTATAATCAATAAATAAATCTCCACAAACCTCGAAATAGAATTTCTCAGTTCTTTTGGCTTTAGTTTTGTTTCCGTGTAAATCATTTACTAGTTGATCTTCCTATTTTAGGTATACCTGTCCATAAATGTTAGCTAACCAGACCCAGATGATTTGAACTAATTCGGCTCTGTGAGGTGAATTTTTCCGGGTACTTCGCTGACAAGCTCTACCTCAAATAAGCGGAACGGCGTTTCGCTGTTCAGATCACTGTGATCTGACAGACTGGCAAAATAGTACAAATCAGCATGAGTAGTCTCAAACTACTCAAGTTATTGAATACTAGCATCTTTCACTAGTTTATGACACTTTTGTGTCAGAAATCATATCTTGTGATGTTGGCTGACGAGTGGTTTCTAGCGGAAACCCTTCTGTGAAACTACAGCTGGGCAGTTGAAAAAATCACTCATGTTTAAAAAATGCCAACGTGGACCGTGGATTCTTTAAATCATTTGCAAATTGTTTATTCTATAACTGCGAGTATATTATCATTTAGTTGGTAAACTGGAATTCATTAGTGCAACTTACTCATCTTTAGGTAATTCTCTGAGTCCTACACCCATCACCGGTTGCCACTGGTGGGTTTCTGTTCATTCAACAAGATACCTTTGCTTCGTAGAAAATCTTTTCATTCATTTCATGTGTTTTATTCATATACAGTATTTCTTTGAAAAGCTTATACAAATACTCGAACAACTACTTGTAAGTAGTTATTACAGTCTTTCAAGTTACCTAGTGAATTTATCAATCTCCTTGTAATGATGCATCGCTATCGCACGTCATCTAATCCTGGACAAATTGGGATTCCTTGGGACTGCAGTATACAACATACTTTCCCTTCTATTTTAAACTAGTCGTAAAGATGTACTTGAATCTCGGTATTGATGTTTCCATGGAAATTGGAAAGTATCATCTATGAGTGAAAACTGAACTACACAGTTATGATCAACGTATATTTCCTTTTGAAGTCAAAAACACCAGAAAGCAAACACTTTAATAACAACTGATACTCGCTGAACAAGAGATAACGATTGCAAATAAGTGAATCAATAGATAACATTCTAGCTCCCAAAGTGATACATGCAGGCATTTAGTATCAGCGGAAACGCCAGAACATTGGATCGGATCCTTAAGACTTATGGGTAGCTGTCATTATGCAGGAAGTTATCACAATGACACCAAAAGCAAAGTTATTGCTAATAGCTGCGGCAGAAAGCAGATTAGATTCTGTATGTATAAAAATATATTACATTTGCAAAGCGGAAATCATTCTTAACACGTAGAAAGTGAGAGGACCAGATGAAATATGGCTTATGCTTCCTAGACGGTTTGAAGCAACATAGCAGGTCTTTTAAGTAAATAGTGTTTATTCCAGTATAGCTGGACGCCAACCACTATTACTTCTATTCATAAGACAAGACTGAGACAACAGCCATCGAACTAAGAGATGATCAGCCCAATGAATGGAAATACAACTGTGAGACCCACTATTGCTATTATGAAAAGCAGTTTACAGTTAATCAGTGTATCGTATGGTTCTCGTAAATATTGTTCATTGTTCAATAGACATCATAGCGAACAAAAGTTGGGAAATTTGGTATTACTGACGGCTGATGGCCAGCAGTGGGCTCCAGGACTCACGGCCCGTCCATTTTGGGACTCTTCAGGTAGATGTGCCTCCCTCCCAAGGAAGCGACTTTGTTTCCACCAAGACTCAAACCTAGCATCTATGGATTCAAACCCCAGAGCTCCATCCACTGAGTCACTGAGTCATGGTCTTGAGTACGAGTCTTGGTAGGAACAACATTACCTGTCGGAAGGCAATTACATCTAGCTGACGACTCCCAAATAGGCCGAAACGCGTGTACTGGATTCCACTGCTAGCCGGTATCCATCATCAATATCAAAATTGAAAATACCGGCAATATTGAGGAATTTACTTAGGAGCCCATATGCCAACAGTGGCCAACCAATTAGGCCCAATCAACGACGAAGATTCACAAGCTATGACATCAAAAGTTGAAAAGACTAGAAATACCATAAAGACCTGATAAGTCATCTTGAATAAATGCAGCTAAACTTTTTATGAGATAATTAACCCTGTGGTTCTATTGCTTTCTGCTTGTGTGAGGTTTTCCATTCAGTATACGAAAAGGCATAGTGGATATTTCAAGTCATCGTCTCGGAAGTTAGCAATAAGTGGGGATGGGATGTGAACTGCGAAAAGTTCTAGGTCCACTGATATTCCTTTGAAACATAAATGCATTAGTCAGAGTTACAAGATCTTACCACATGTGACTAGCTGTTGAAGTAGGACAGTAAAGAATACACTTTTCAAGTCTGCTGAAGGGATAAGAGAATGGACTGAGCGATCGATGCTACAGCAGATTCATATTATATATATATATATATATATATATATATATATATATATATATATATATATATATATATATATATATATATATATATATTCAAAATTCTGTCTGGAACATATCTCAGGCTAAGCGATGACTCGTTCATGATGTACAAGATTGTAAGTAGTGATCTTCAGCCTGATGAATCCGCCTTTCATGTGTCAAGCTTACATAAACATGTAGAAAGTTTCACAGCTTCCCAGAAAACCTTAGACGTTATAAACCATGTTCACAAAATTGAAGTTACACTGACGTGTAATCTTTCAAAGAAGTTTTAATCATGCATTGCCACCACTGAAAACTAGGGATCACTGTACAGATATTTCCTCCTTGTTTGCATCTCCTCAAAAATGTACGTCAACGATAATTCCAAAGAGAGAATCGGAAAAGGCCATGTCTATCTTCCAAGAAGTTATAATTCAGCCACTATGCTGATATTTGACTACCCCCACTTCTAGCTCCCCTCAGTCCACAATACAATGAGGCCATGATCGCATTTCATCAGTTAACATCCTTCATCATTCCCGTCTCTGTTGACCTTCAAAATGACAGGCGTTAATTGTTACTTTTGGAAATACATCTCCTGGAGTAGTTTGTAGGAATTCGACTGACTTCATGACAATTTTTATCAGGAATGAATGTAAGCGATGATAGAACCAATCCATTCTGTGAGAACTAGTAATCAAATCACCATAAAATAATAAATTGATCCCTCACTTTTGCCAACTGTCCAGTGATTAGTATACTGCTAAAGCAGACTTGAATGTAAACTGTGACGAAATGATTTGCATTTATTTTCTTAGTTCTAAGTCACAGAATAACGTACAAATACTAAACAGACAAGTTATTATTTGTTGATACCTGCAATTCACCGATGTTATACTGCGTCTAACTGATCTACAATTTCTGGCAGATGGGCACCTATGCAGATGCTTTTCTGACCATTTAAGTTATGGCTATCGCATTTCAGTGGCCTAGTGGGTAATGCTTTAACGTTTGAAGTGGTGGGTATGAGGTTCGAGTTTCAGTGGTGACAACGTAACTCAGGGAGAGGCAAGAGTATCCAACTGAGGAGTCCAAAATAGGATGAAACGTGCATCCTGGATTCCACTGCTAGCCACAACCATCACGACCCTAAGTCTATAAAGCAAGACAAAAGTGTTTAACGCTGGTTGCTTTGCATCATGCTGAATTCAGTAATTTTGACAATATTGATGACTGCCTGCAGCTGAGAACCTTATGCTGATTAAAACATCTTACCAACTGGCATTAGATATGTGTAATACTGAAAGTAGTCTACTATCGTGTCATGTTATCCAGTTCAGTAGTCACGTTACAAACTCGATTAATCGACTTCTATCAGTACTCCGGACGCAGAACTTGACAACTACATCGATAACTATCTGGTGACTGATTCACATAAGTTACAGAATCTAGTAACACTTAAGTAAATTTACTCAAATGTTTTATAGCCTCCAAACCATTTGCTTTCTTCACTAAAAAGACATTTTTTAATATATGACTCAAACTGTTTAACTTGAGTTTCTGGTTACTCACCAAGTTTAGATTACCTATCCATGATTTTAGCCTTCCACTTTCTGCAAAAGGTAAGTCAGTCAATGATGTT